TCCGCGTGCACCGACACGTAGCTCGACAGCGCTCGCTCGCCCACCCGCCGCTCCACCAGCGAGTAGGACACCAGCGCGTTCTCCTGCGCGTCCGCGTCCCGAGCGGACACCGTGAAGATGTGGCAGCCGGGAAGGTTGTTCTCCTTCACCAACACCGTGTACTCGGGCTGCGCGAACGCGGGCGCGTTGTCGTTCACGTCGGCCACCTCCACGGACACGCTGGCTGTGGCCGACAGGGAAGGCGAGCCCGCGTCCCGCACTGTCACTACCACCTCATAGTTCGCCACGCTCTCGCGGTCCAAGGCGCTGTCAAGCAGTAGTGAATAGTAATTCTTGAAGGTGGACACCAGCTTGAAAGGGCTGTGGGGCATCAGGGAGCAGGTCACCTGCCCGTTGGCGCCGGAGTCGCGGTCGGACACGCTGATCAAGGCGATGACAGTGCCCACCTGAGCGTCCTCTCGCACCGGAAGAGCCAAAGAAGTGACGGTAACTTCTGGGGCGTTATCATTGATATCTACTATTTCCACCAAAATGGTACAATGACCCGCCATTGGAATATTCCCCTTGTCAATTGCTTCCACGGATATTTCATACAATTTCTTTTCTTCGAAATCCAATTTACCTTTTGTCCGAATTTCTCCGCTGCTGGGATTTATGGAAAACGCATATAATATTGTAGGCGATACAGGTCTTCTAAATGAGTAGATTATGTCTGCATTCGTACCATCATCAGGGTCTGTGGCATTTAATTTGATCACTAATGTTCCATTAACTGCATTCTCTAACATTCTCACTTTATAAATTAAGCGGTCAAATTCTGGGGCGTTATCATTCACATCCAGGATTGTAATCAGCAGCTGAACTGTGCCGGTCAGCTCGGGTTTGCCTCCATCACTAGCTGTCAATAATAAACTATGTTCCTGAATTTCCTCTCTGTCCAATGATTTCTTTAACACAAGTGATAACGAAGACGTTTGTTCACGGTTGTTTTGTGTGCCCAAAGTGAAATAATCGTTGGGATAGACTCGGTAGGTCAAGGCAGAGTTTACTCCAATATCTGCATCAGATGCGCCATCTAGTGGGAACCGAGTTTCCGGAGGTCTAGATTCAGCAATGATTATTCTTTTTTCACTTTCAGGGAACACAGGCGGGTTGTCGTTAATATCTGTAACTTCCACCTCCACATGAAACACCTGCAGCGGCCTATCCACGATCACCTCCAGGTGGATGCTGCACTCCGCGCTCCGCCCGCACAGCTCCTCCCGGTCGATCCGAGAATTCACAAACAGAATGCCGTTCTGCAGATTTACCTCCAGAAGGTCCCCGCGGCCTTTGGACGCCACCCGGAACAGGCGCGGCACCAGCTCCGTCAGCTCCAGCCCCAGGTCCTGGGCGATGCGGCCCACGAAGGTGCCGTGTTTGGCCTCCTCCGGAACCGAGTAGTGGACCTGGCCGCTCCCCGCCTCCCAGGCTGCGAGGAGCAGAAGCGAGAGAAGCAAAAGCCGAGCTCCTGGGCCTCCTCTCCAGGAAGACAGCATGGTACACTCAAAAGCCTTCAGAGATATCTGAAGTATATAGACTACCTTACCTCAAATGCCTCTCAAGGTCTAATTTTACGGGCTTCTATTGCGGGAGAATTCACTAGAGGTTTTCCACTATCGGCCAAATTTTCCGCGGGGAGGAAAGAGGGGAGGCGCTTTCTTCGAGGAATTGTTCTCAGTGAAGAGCGACACCATGCGCATGAATGTGTAAGTGTAAAAATGACTCGGTCCATATTTTCGGTTGATGTAGGGGTTTTTTTTTTTCTTGCATTTCGTGACAGTTTTCATTGCAAATACGTAATGGAAGATTAAATGTTTTTCTTTCCAGCAACAGTAAATCACTGTATTCTGCTCAGCACTGGATGCTAGTTGAAATTGGTTGATGAGTTCCATCTTTCCACAAGTACATTTTTGCATGTGTAAAACGTGGTGCAGAATTTGTAAAAAGAGGTAATATTCTACATTTGCTTTTAGAACTCAGACTCTAGTTCTGCACAGCTTTGTAGATTTGGGTGGGAATGTCCTTTTCCTGTAATATTTTTGAGACCTATTCACACAACTCCCTTGACTCAAAATGGAAACATAACGAATCACATAAGAATAAAACAGATGAATGTGAAAATTCGGTAACTGATATACAAGATTTTAAATAAACACAATATTTATAAATTCCCCCAAATATGACTGTGAAATTTGGATAAAATATTTGTATTCGAAGGAAATGTCCATCAATGTGCGTATGAGTTTGTATGTGCGTGTGTGTGTACATAAACACACAATGTAGACCATTTAGATATAACAATTCTTTAAAGTTCTGGATTCTCTTTGTATAAAACATGCCAAGAACTAGTATATTATGTATTTGCTAGAAATGAAATTACTACCAATAGGTTAAATTTCCCTCTTCTCTCTCCGTATCATACACCATCACTGGAGAAAGTCCTACTATCATTTAAACTGACTGATTTTCCAAGTAACAACAGGTATATACAGATGTTAACACATCTCTAGCAAGGAAGAAAGGAAGGGGCTCTTACTTTTATCTAATACTGTACCTATCTTTACCAACTTACCAAGATCCAGGCCAAATAGGGCTAGGAAAGAAAGAACATAGCCCCAATAATTCTCTTGCCTGTTTTGTGCACAACTCTGCAGGAAATAAGAGTTGGGTTCATTTCTGAATCTTTGCTCCCCTCTGAAAATGTGAGTAGAGCATTTGGTATTCTCTCACCCTCATCCTCCTCATTGCTCCATTACTTTTATTAACATACCTTTACTCTTATAATGGGAATAGTTTTTTGGTTCTAATAGTTCTTGTCTATCAGGCCCTACCTGTCTCATTTATCTCTCCACCTAACCTAGACTACACAGTCAATCATTTAAAACATGCCCTTCCAGACACCCTAAAGGCACACACCTACTTATAGCACCCCTCTAACATTTTCTTCAGCTTCCAACACACAGCCTAACTATCCATTTTCTCCATTCCTTCTACTGAGCTTCTCAGTGTGTTAGTCACTTAACCAGGATTACTATATTCTCTACAAGTTTACTCTCACCTTTACCTCAGTTGAGCCCTCAAGTGAATTTGTAATTCCTGCCTACAGAGATTCTTCCATATTTTCTTCTCTCTTCTCAAATTCCCAGCCTCATTCCCACAACCTGTTCCTCAGATGATTTACCCAGAGATAAAAGTCATCAAATATGAACACAATGGCTCTCTTCTTATGTCAACATTTTTCTTTATATTCTCTATTACTCATTCCCTACTAAGGAAAAATCGCCCCACTTTTATGGCCAACCCTATGCTCTTATTTTTTTCTCTATTCTATTCTCTTTCATATTTTTCGTCTTCGTCTTCATTCTTTCTCTGCCTGTCCCATCTTCAGTATCTCCCTCTTTACTTGCTTCTTTCCCTCTCACTAAAAGACACTATGGAAAGGCTTTGTGTGGAAGAAAGTTACAAGATGTAAAATGCACTTTAGAAGGTTCACCTGATAATTGTGTCAGAGCAGTAGTACGCCATAACGAGTTGGTGATCCTTCAAAACTGAGTTTGAGCCACTTTGCACAGTCTATGTGGCTTAAGTTTCAGACTTCTAAAAGTAAAATTCCGATGATAAATATTGTACCTGCACCATAAGAGTGATATGATAATTAAATAAGATAATACAGTTAAAGATCCTAGAACAGGTCCTGGAAAATAATAGGGGACCAATAAGTACTCTTATGTTTTATTGAATCAAAGAAATGTTATTAATTGTAAGATGCACCATTACTTGTGTGCTACCAAGAAAAAAAGGCAAGTAAATTATTGTAAACCATCAATTATAAGGTGTATACTAGGGCTTCCCTGTTGGCACAGTGGTTGAGAGTTCGCCTGCCGATGCAGGGGACGCGGGTTCGTGCCCCGGTCCGGGAGGATCCCACATGCCGTGGAGCGGTTGGGCCCGTGCGCCATGGCCGCTGAGCCTGTGCGTCCGGAGCCTGTGCTCCACAACAGGAGAGGCCACAACAGTGAGAGGCCGGCGTACCGCAAAAAATAAATAAATAAATAAATAAGGTGTATCCTGCTTTAGATGGCTATTATATTATTTTAATGTTATTATATTTATGTAAATAAGAACAATGCTGTAGCCAATCCCAATTGAAAGAAAGAAGGCACTCAATGGGAATAACATAAAATTATTCATCTTAGCAATAATAACATAATTTTTATTATTGTTATAATACTCAAAAGGAGATTTACTGGAATTAGATTGGTGGACAACAAGGCTATTTTACAAGCCTATGCACATAAAGAGCAGTAAAGGAATCCAGTTAATGATATCTGGGAACTCTCTGCACTAACCTTGCAAATTTTCTTTAATCATGAAATTAAGTACAAATTAAAAATAAATTTGAGTTATCAGAACCTAGACAGTTTTTACTCAAACGTACTTATATCTTTCAAGGCGAACCATTCATAGATAATATGAAAAATTATAGAACGAGAAAAATTTTAAATGTGGAGATCCATGGCTTCCATTTCATCTTTATCTCATTATTTAATATTACTTGAAAAGTTGGGCTAATACACGAAAAGTTCAAAATGACTAATATACTTGAATGATATCAAGGACTTACTTCACTAGAAGGACTTAAACAATCTTCTCCTGACGGTTGAAGACACGGACTGAAGGCCATGAGATCTGCCTTGGGCGGCCCCTCCCCAGAGCACACCCTCTGCCGCCTCTGCTGCG